ATGCACAGAAAAGAAAAAAACACTGTTTCATATATTTTTTCACACTATATAACGGAAAACAACACGTGAGAAAGAATAAAATTTCTTTTAAAAAGAAAAGAAACGATTTTTGTCGCAGTTCTATTTTCTAACACTTTACCTTCAGCATCAGTTAATATTCGTTTCGGTAAATTTTTCAGTAAAGAGATAGGATTAACAATGCGCTTTACATTCTCTGGTAATTTGTTAAAAGCGCGTTGCAGTTAATAAGATTATTTAATTGTACATGTAGCCTACATAAAAGAGGCATTTGTCGTTCTATCTACTGGCTAACAGAACGAACAAATATTTATTCTTTTCTCTCTTCTATAGTTGTGTTTATTAAATTTTAATTTCAGTTCAAATTTTTATGTTCTGTTCTTGAGAGTGGGCTTAGAAAGTCCGAAATCCTGTGCCACACGAAATTCTACTGCGAAAACTATTTTTGGCTAGTGTTTCTGATCCTCTACTTGACTGGTTCAAGTCATATCTGTCTGAGCGTATCCAGATAGTAGCAGTGTGATTTGCTCATTCTATTTCTGTTCCTCATTTCTGGAGTGCCTCAAGGGAGTATTCTTGGTCCCATCTTATTTTTAATCTTTATTAATGACTTACCTCAAAGTCTAGTTTTCTGTTCTCTATTCTCGCTCTCTGCAGATGATCTTCTTTATCTAGCCAGTCCAGACAAGGCACATGCATGCATAGACGAGATTCTAATGTGGTGTGAAACGAATTTTGTCACTTTAAACGTCTCAAGAAGTAAGTGGATGTTGTTTTCTTCTGTATCTAACGTATTTCCAACAATGTGTTTAAAGATGAATGATCATATAATTGAGCGTGCTACTTTTCTTAAACTTCTTGTCGTTAGATTAACGTATGATCCATCGTAGAAATATCATATTAACCGTGTAATCTCAAATTGTCGAAAAATGTTTGATTCTATTTCCCGTGTGTTCCGCGATTCTATTAACTCTCTTTGTCTTCATCTTTAGAAATTAACTGTTCAAACAATCATAATTCTCTTCAGCCATGTGCAAATCAATCGATTAAAAACTGACAAAAAGAACAGATCCTATTTAGTTTGTTAAACATTCTGACATTTGGTCTACTAGTGTTCTTATACTATCGACATCGTCGCCTGTGCATTATCGATTGTTGTCTAGGCGAACGGGGCATTTTTATAAAAATGCTGTTTCATATTTTACGTGTAGATCAGTAATCTGAAACAGTCCATTTGACAGTTCCGCAATTCTCTTAATTCTCTTCGTTTTCATCTTTATAAAACTTGCATGCGTCCAACTTTGGAGTACTGCTGCATTCTATATGATACGTCTTACATTTCTCATCTCTCTGTGTCAGATGAAGCACAAAAATTGGCCTATAAAATAATCCTCAGAGATTATGGCAGTAATTCCTCGCAACTTCTCCCTCAGCTAAATTTAGCACCGCTCTCCACTCGAAGAAAATACTTTCGTCTTGCTTTATTTTATAAACTATAAGACGGGAGAACTGCTTTGTCTGCTAGAACCATAATTTCATCTCCAACAAATCGACGGTGGTCTAGAATAACACATGATAAATAAATTCAAACTTTACTATTGCTTAAAGTCGGCTTCTGGTCATTTTTCCTCGTACCACCGACGACTGGAATGGAATGTGCTACCATGCACCGGTGTGAATTAACTCAGTCATAGAATCTATAAGAGTCTTTTGAAATAACATGTTCAACTATTATAATCGACCTGTCGTTTCTTGTAGCTCATCAACAAAGTGTGATAAGTTTGTAGCGGAAAATAAAATCTGAAATAGCCAATCGATAGCGCCGCTTTTCAGACAAAAATATCCTCATCAATAAATTACATTATGCTTATAAAAAGAATCTTCTATATGTATATTTAACTCGCAGATAAGAACGCATATATAACAAATCTTTTTTAAAACAAATTCACATCATTCGCTCGTTAAGTACTATTTCTTCGTTCAAACAGAAAAACATGGCTAACATCATGAAGCTTGAGAAAGAAAGATGGATCATAGAAGTTATTCAGACAGTGACTCCGATGTACATCCATGTTGAAAAATCACATGTTCATCTCGAAAGCGTGCACAAGGCTGCAAATAACGAGAGGGTGTAAGAGAGTGCGCACCTCCCGTATAATTCAGAAAGTTATCATTATTTATCAATTATTACTCGCACAAAATCTTTTTTATCAGTTTTACACTCCCTCAGAGAGAAAATTTGTTTTACACGCCTCCCCTAATGTTTACTGCTATTTGCGGCCCTGACTGTGCATAGTGGTACGAGAACAGCGATTAAATACTCCGAGCACGAACGAGAGATTCGAACATCATGGAGCAGAAGTATTAAACAACGATACGGTGATTAGGTTACAATCAACGAATGAACAAAAAATGATATTATCTAAAACGAAAGATATTATCATGTTTGAAAAATATTGAGCCATTCGAAAGCTATAGTGAAGCTATAGAAAACTCTGATTAAAAAGCAAGTTTCGAATTTAAAAACCTCATAACTCAGAGAGAAACTGCTAGAATAGAGGTCTGTCTCATCGTCTAACTCATATCGGTCTACAGTGGGAGGCACGTTAGTGGTGATACATTAAATCATGAAGCTTCTTGAAAACTAAAAGCGGCAGTGAGAAGAGATTCTTCTAAGCAGGTACATTCTGGTAAATATCCAGCGTTTGATCTACATAAGAATAAACAGCAGACAATTTTAATCAGAACTTCTCATAGTTACATTAGAAGTGTCGAATAGATCAATATTTTTCTAACCTAAAAAATATTGATTTATTCGAAATCCAATCGAAATCCTGTTTTTCAGGCAACGCCCCAATACTTGTCTGAAGTAAAAAGTTAAAAAAATAGTTAACCAAATCTAGCTGGACCAAACTCGTTGATGGACATGGAAGAATGTGGATAAATACTCGTTAACTCAACAAACTGGAGGCAGATGGAGTCAAAATAAAATATCGTCACCATACCTTGACAAAAATCAACCTAAACTTTCTTTAAACTGACTTTTCGTGTGAGAGACGGGTGGATTAACATCTCAGCATACATTCATCCATCCTGTGCTGTTAAATAAATGTTTTGTTTCTTCACTACAACATTTTCGAGTTCTGTGTGTGAATCAGCAATTAAAGCTAAAGCAAATATTTCTTTAATATATTAATTTTAAATATTATTAGATCTTACGCATGGCTATGGTCAACCGGATCAGGTATTGTTGGTGCTGTTCCTCTTTTTGGTGCATCGCTCACATATGACGCTGCAGTTATTTTAAGTTGAACAGCTGCATACAACAAAGCATTCGGACTTGGCACACATGTTTTGCAGCAAATACTTGTTACAGAAGGTACACCAGTCGATAAACTAACACACATGGTAAAAGTGCTAAGTGTTCGTTTAGGTACGAGAGTGACAGTTCAGGGAACAACTCTTGTAACGGATATAGACAAAGAACGTTTGAAGCATGGAAGTCAAATCAAATGAATATCAAATGAAATATAACTACCAATTCACCTTCAACAGATGAAAATGGAATAGGACTTCTGAGATATTCTATGTGAATGGTTTCTAGCACCAGCAGCGGCTGGTCAAACAGTTGAAGAAGTCCTAAAACTAGTTCCAGTTGTATGATCAGTAGCAGGCGTCGGTTTATCGTTTATCTCAACACGCTATCTCCTAGGCTGTTTAATAGACTATTTTGAAAGTGAAGCAATATAAAGTATCAAAGACAAAATATAAACTCGAAATCTCCTCTCTCTTCTTTAACCGTTTCGTTTTTCCTTTTCTTTTTGATTGTTTGTTTTTAATTTGATCCTTTCTCTCCCACTGTCATTTTATGCTTGTCCCTTTTGTTGTTGTTGGTTTTTGCGCTCTTTCAGTATCTCCCCTTTCTTATGTGGAGTCAAGGAATAATGTAATGTGGTCCTTAGGCCGCGGTTTTAATCTTTGTACTGTTCTTCTCTTTCTTACTAAACAAAGTTTATATCAACTCGAAATTCTGTGGCGTACTAGCAGAAAAACTACAGCGGTAGTCAAAAGTATGCATCCCTTGTGAGCGTTGTTTAGGAGACGTCCGAACTTTCGCAACGGTTTGACTAACTTTCACTAGTTAACTTCAGCATATTTAAGGGAACTTTGTTTATTAATATTTTTGTGTAACTTAAGAATTTCTTTTCGTTTTATTTATTAAAACAGGGAAGAAGACAACTGTTTAAACGCACAACTTTACTGACTGCTATTTAAATATTAGAGTATCAATAGTATAAAGTAGCGTTCGTTAAAGTTTGGCGGATATGTGTTTTGTTTGAAAGTTTTCCACTCTTTTAGCAAAATGCATCCTTATAGCAGCGATGCGACTGGCGTTGGAAGCATCAGTGGTTACACTACCCGACATCGAATTTATCACGTGTAACAAATTTAACAAAATTCGGTTGTCTCTTGAGGTGCGAATATTAAAATTAATTTCAAAACCCTCCACCGCATAGAATGGAGAATCAAAGAAAACGTTTCCTGTTGTACTTAAATACAAACGGATATGTGATTATGCAAACGGCGCCAGATGTGAGAGATCCTGAGTTATTAGCTGATGTTTTGCGGAGCAACTCATTATTTGTCTGAGCTGATTAATCCAATGAAAAAAGAACAAAGGCCGATATCTATTTTTCCTTTTTAATGCGAAGCCCATCTATGAAGACCCTTTTTAAAAACAGGTTAAAAACAGTTGAGGTCCCACCGCACAAAAACTACAAGGTAGAATGTTTTTGTTTTTCTCTCATTTGTAGTACTCATCGAGCTCTACAAAACGGCATCAAAGATATTTTGGTCTGATTCCTGTTCACCCTCTTTTCTCGATCACAAAAGTC